AGAACCTTGCTGAGCTATCACACACTCTGCTGCAGAGCTGCATCCCCAACCCTTTTCTTATGTTGACACAAGGCCTTACTAAATTGCCTAGACTGAGCTTGCATTTGTGATCCTCCCACCTCAGCCTCCCAGAGAGCTGGGATTGTACCTGCACCACTGTACCAGAGGAAGCGTGTGCTGTTCCTGCTTTCAAGAGACTACGTTCTGTGTTAGGGGAGGTGGAAAGGCCTGATGCTGGTGCCTGGGGTTGCATTTCTGAAGCACAGCTTAAGCTGCTGCACTGAGCACACAGCATCAAGGACAGTCATCCTCAGTGGGGCTGGTGTAGCCACCAGGGGACACAGGGCACTGTCGGGTGACACTGTTGATGTTTGCGGCTGACAGTGGAGGAGTGCTACTCTCTAGAAGGCAGAGAGCAGAGAGGCTGGCAAAGGTCTGACAATGCACAGGACCACCAGAACCGTCCCGCTCACAAGCCCGGGGTGCTAGACAAAGAAGCCTGTTCTGGGCCGTGGCACAGCATGCTGGGTGACGGGAGACATCAGCTGAGTCTCTAGGCCCGGGGCTGCCGATTTGGAATGTGGGTGTGTGGTGTTGCTGAGGAGGTCCTTTAGAAATGGTTTGCCAGTTAATCATATTTTAGCTTTTTTTTTTTTGCCTCAAAGAAAGAATTTGATGAGACAAGCCAAAAAAAGTACCAAATCTTATTTGAAAATTGCTGGGTGAAGGGGTGAGGGAAACACTGGCTCTGTAGAGCAAACTTGGGCCCAAGAAAAGAAAACATAAAGGCAAAAGGAAAGTCCAGCCTTGGGTAGAAGACGCAGAGTGGATGTAGTGGGCTCCTGATGGCACCTGTGTCCTTCTGTGTCCTCCACATGTGCGAGCCCTGAGAAGTTCTCCACATGGAGTCCTGGGAAGGACCTGGCACTGTCCCGGGATCTTGCAGCTTAGGCCGGCTTGGCACCTACATGGGCTGACTGTGTGACCTTGTGTAGACCGAATTGCAAAATGGAATTTTAAGCACTTTTTCCCCCTAGAGATAAGAACTTCTCCCAAGTTCATCTTGTTGGGCCCCTAGCCAACACTCTATCTTCTCTTTGGCCCCAAAGGAGCAGCAGAATATGCCAGTGCCACCAGCCTAGAAGTTTCCTTAACACAAGGACAAAGAGGAGAGCTGGAAATGGTAAAGTAGGTGTGGAGATCTGTAGCATCTCTGTGCCCTGCTCTGCCATGTTCCTTACTATAAAAGACCTTTGCCCACTGGCACGGGGGTATAAGATGATCTGAAGCCTCTTCTCCTCCTCCTCAGAGTTGTACAAATCTCCTTTTTCCTTTTACCAAGTTATGTGGTCTCCTTTGATTTGGTCAGAGGTGGACAAAGAACCCTGAGCCTATGAAGTTTAGTGGCTGGGACACTGGCCGGATGCCACAGGTTATCTGCTTGAGGGTTGTCCACGTGCAAAGCAGGAGAAGGAGCACTGGCTCTTTCCCCCCATATTGCGGTGGGCATTGGAAAGGGACACAGAATGTCACCCAGAAAGTCATTTGTTGGGTCCTGACTGGCACAGTCCTGGAGCACGCTGCCTTCAGGCCCAGCTGGACGAGGGCTCTGGCGATGCCCCAGGAATGAGTTCCTCTCCGCTCGTGGCTCTGCCTCCCACTGTGAGGTGCACTCCCAGGCTCCATGAAGTGGTCTGTGGTCGTGCCAGGCTCTCCTTCCCTTGGGGACAAGATCCTTGCAGGATCTGTGACCAGGGTGTCTCCACTGTAGGAAAGCTTCTGGCATGTAACCTGGATGATTCCCATCTGTGGTGCACACCCAGCGGAGATCAGTCGCCTCCTCTCCCAGTTCTCACAACCCAAACGGATTTCACACATTGTCTGATGTAGCTTTCTGGCCTCCTCTCGTAGCCACATGTCCTCCCCTGTGTGTGAGCAGAATCCTAGCCACGTGTCCACAGGTTGTACGAGCTCCCTGATTGGACTTGCCTCTGCTCCTCAGACTACCCTGAGCCACCTGCTATGGTGGTTGGGGCATGCAGTGAATGGATTCTCCAGGCCTGGAGCCTGTGCTCCATCCTTCAGTCTGGGCAACCAGATTTGGTCAAAGCAGTATCCCAGGGCTGGGGTTGGGCTGTCCCTGAACAAAAGTCCAGGCTCTCATGCTAGGAAGAGAAGTGGAGGCTGGAGAGGTGGACAGCAAGAAGCCACTGTGGCCACTGCCCTCTGTGTACAAAGATCACCAGTGCTGTGTTGTCTGACGGATTGGCAGGCAGCCAGGTTCTCAACTGGCTGTGTCCTTGGGGTGTCCGTGGGTCAGAGGATGCAGATGTGGAATTCTCACGGGTTTGTGACTCATCTGAAACAATCCAGGGCCAGCCAAATAACTCAGCGGATTCAAGCGCCTGCAAGCAGGCACAGAGGCCTGGAGTTTGATCCCTGGGCCTGCAGTGTCAGTTCCACCCCTGGGGCATGCCGAGATGGCAACTGAGAGGGGGTGTGGTGGCGTGCGACTGTAATCTCAGCTCTTGGGAGGCTGTAAATAGGAGGATCACTACGAGTGTGATTTAGTGGTGAGACCCTGAACACCCTGTAGACCCTTCCCTAAAAATCCAAAATAAATAAATAAATAAATAAAAAATAAACAATTCTCCTGCACAGTCAACTCCTGGCTCAAGGTTTGGGCTTGGACCCCAGGCTTCTGTGCAGTAACTCTGGCTGGGGTCCTTTCTCCTGCGCGTAGTTGGGGCCAGCCCTATGGACACAGCTATATTTGCCATTAGAATAGTGCAACCTCCCACCCAGACCCATGACTTGGCACCTCCAACGAGATTTGAGCAGCTCGACTCTCCTGTGAGTCTTTTCTCCCTCTTCTGCAGTTTCTTCACCCACCAAGAGGAACAATGACAATGGCATTGACTTCTTACCGCTGTGGTGACACTCGGCACACACTGCTGTAATGCACTTAGAGTTGTGCATGCGCAACAAATGTGCTCTCTTCATCCCTTAGTCATGCAGGTTCTGAGATACCGTGGAATTCTTCAAACTTTTCAGCAAAGAATTCCAGTACATCCAGGATGGGCAAGATTTTTGGTTTTTTATTGAAGATTGAGCCAGGGCCTTTGTACTGAGCTACACCCCAGTCCTCAAATGTGCTTAAATTTTTAAAAAAATTTTGAGACAAGGACATTGTAAGTCACTAAGTTGCCTTAGCTGAACTTGAATTTTTCATCTTCCTGCTTCAGCCTCCACAAGTACTGGGTCTAAGCTTTTGGTGGAAATGGCCAGACAAGTGAATGTTTTAGACTGGAGGCCATATGTTCTCTGCCTGAAGCAGTCAGCTCTGCTGTTGTAGTGACAGGAAGCCATATGGCCACAGCTGTGTTCCAATAAAACTTTATTTACAAAACAGATTTGCTTTACAGGCTGTCGTTTGCAGTACAGTGCTGACCTGAGGTCTCGCACACAGCACTCACCACAGCAAAGTGTCTGCGAAATCCTAGCTAAAGAGCTTAATTTGAATTTTGTGACTTTATATAGCAGCGTTGATTTTTCATAGATTTCTTCTTCTCTCCCCATCTTTACAGAAAACTGATGACTGGGACAACACTTTCTGTTTGTTCTTTGACTTCACACAGCCCCCTGGCCCACCACCATGCCTCTTGGTGGACAAGTGTCCCAGGATGGCCAGAGTGCGCTCCTTGGACCTGGTTGCCAAGGCTGTGTGCTCCAGGCCTGAGGACCAAGGTGTTCACTCCTAAGGGGCAGGACAGAGGGAAGATTTGTCACTAGGAGTCCGGGTGTGAGAACAGCAGTGACAGCAGCTTCTCCTGTTCACTGGTCTCTGTTAGTGAGGGAGACAGGGCAGGTGTTCCCACTTTACAGGTGAGGAAAACTGAGGCACAGAGAGGCTCAGTGCCTCAGCTACTGGCACTGCCTGTAAGTGGAACAGTGCAGGCCTCCGGCCTCCAGGGTGCCCTCCCTTCCGTCCTGCCATTGTTAGTGTCAGAGGTGATACGAGTGCGCTCACTTGCTAAGATGTCTCTGCTTCTTCACCCTTCCCTGTGATGCCTTTGGCCATGTGACCTCTCTATGTCCCACCCCCAGAGGAGGAGGAGAGACAAACAGAGCTGAGTGGCCCTGGCCTGACTCACAATCAACCAATCCCACCAACTCGCAACCCCACGGAGCAGTGAGTCCTACTGTGATCAACAAAGCTTCCCGACTGACTCAGACACTGCTCATCATTGTACAACCAAGCATTGAGGACTAGTGCTTGGTTGTTACGCAGCATTATCATACTGAAGCTAGCTGATACAGTGCTAGAAACTGTTTGTGAACAGTTGGGAGCAGTAGTTCTCCCCCTAGCCTCTGTTTCTGTAGATGCCTTGCTAATGTTACTAGTGAGGGTCATTACCTGCACCCACCCTGGTCACTAGAGGTCTTCTGGGAAGCTTTTGGTCTCATGGAAGAATAATGTCATTGTGAGCTGCAGTCAGACTCCTGGGTTTAAATCCTAGTGCCTCATCATCAGCTCTGTGAGAAGTTTAAGGCTGGTGAAGGTGTAAGGCTCTCTGAGACTCAGTTTCCTTACCTGGTTTTTAACATTTTGTCCTTGGGGCTGGGGAGATGGCTTAGTGGAATAAGCACTTCCTTGGCAAGTGCAAGGGCCTGAGTTCAATCCCTGGTTCCACCAAAAAAGATAAAAATAAATAAATAAATAAAATTTTGTCCTCTCAATACCAAAGATTGAACCCTAGGATTTTTTATTTTGAGGCAGAATCTCGCTATATTGCCCAGACCGGGCTTGAATTTGTGATCCTCCTGCCTCAGCCTCCTAGAGTGCTGGGATCAGCCCCGTGCGACACCATGCCTGTATGTTTCCTCATTTGGAAAGGAGGATGGTAACGAGCACTATCACCAGGAATTCGTGAGATGGTGCAGCTGAAGCTGTTGCATGGTGCCAGGCACAGATTTCCATGGACAAACAGACCCCAGTGCTAGCCACTGTCATGGGACACTTGGTTGCACTTTGGAGGGTCACTGGTGTGGGGGTACTCAGGAGTTTCTGCCTGCTCCTCCTAGGGAGAAGGTAGAAGCAAGAGGACCAGCAGCTAAGTGCCCAGCATCCCTCTCTTCCTACCACCAGTCTGTGACCTCTTAGGCAAAGCCCACAAACCCCCGACGTCAGCCAAGCCAGGTCTGAGGAACCCTTCCTTGCAGCCACTACAGCCTGCCACGGTGTGACCTTCCAACAGATATCCCACACACTGGGGTTGAAGCCACATGCTGTTGCAAGGATGGTCCCTTAAGGAGGCTCCAGGGTGGCTGGTGGCCGGTGGCGGGTGTTCCTTTGCTCCTCCATCCGCTAGGGGTCGCCAGTGCTCCTTGGCCCAAGGCTCTTTCCTTTTGCGAGTGGAACGTGGCAGATGGTAACCCATGTTCCCCTTCTCTCTGGCTCCTTCTTTTCATCCTGACGCCTCCTCAGACTCTGACCTTCCTGTCTCTTTCTTTAAGGACACTTTTGCATCACAGCGGACCAGCCTGAGAACCCAGATCATCTTCTCTTCACAAGATCCTTAATGGAATCTGCAAACCCCTCTAGCGCCTAAGGCCGCATTTCCTGGGGCCCACGCAGACCTCTGGGGGAGGCATCCTGTCTCCCCCAATAAGCATTGCGTCCTGGGCACGCAGCAGACCTTGACCCAGGCCTGAGAATTTCACACTCTTGGTGCACGTTTCAGCTTGTATTTGCTAGTGGAGAGCAGTATTGATAATTCAGTTTTGAAGCCCTCAAAACAACAGTTTACCTTCCCAATGACCACTTCCTCCTTCCCCACTCCAGCCCTGGGTACAACTTCCTGTGACTTTCCCCGCCCACACAAGGGAGCCTCCAATCAGCTCCTTACATGTCACTAAACCCGCCCCTCAAGCTCCGCCCCCGGCAAAAGTCCATAAAGCCTCAGACTTCCTGTCTCGGGTCAGAGGATCCGCGCATCTTCCTGCCCTTGGTCCTCTCCGTGTGTTTAGAGTCAATAAAGGCTTTCCCCTCCCCCATTTCTGCTTCTCTGCTGCGCCGCCACCACTGCTGCCATCGCTGTTGCCTCTGAAACCTATCACTTTCCATTCCTGATCTGCCTGGGTCGCATTATTTTTTTCAGTTTTGTTTATAGAATATGTTTCCATTATACAACAGTTCACATTCCCTATGGGGATTTGGTTCACGCACACTGATAAAGGCGGCATGCCGTGGTAAAGCAGGCTGGGAAAATAGAGAGGACCGGTCAATTACAGATCATTGCCAGGTCCCGGATGTGGAACTTCTCGCGAGTTCTCACGAGATATGGGCGGAGTAAAAGGAACGCTGTGCACCAAGTGCCCCCTCCCACCATCCTTACTCTTCGAGATATCCAGTGTCCTCGAGATCAGAGCATGTTTTATTTTCCTTTTCTCCTTTCCTCTCTGTTTGGTCTAAGTTTGCAGTGCAGAGCCAGTTTTTTTCTTATCTCTTCATCCCTTAAGCATCATTTTTGGCTTTTCTTGCCCAGTTCATTATTCAGTACTTTTTTTTGAAAGGAGCCGCTGGACAGCCCAACAGCACAATCCAATTGTTGCACTCCCTTTCCGTCCCTCATCCCTCCATCTCTTGGTCTTCTTCCCTACTTCCTATTTTAATTTTGCTCTTTATTTATATTTTGGGTTTCTCATATAAGCAATAGCTTTTGTGTCTGATTTCACTTAGCATTATGGTTTCAAGGTGCATCTACTTTAATTTTTCCCAGATAAAATATCATAGGTTTATTTAAAACTTATTTCTTACCTTGGGTATCCAAAACACAAACTGCACAAAATATTTAAAACATTTCCTACCTTGGGTATCCAAAACACAAACTGCACAAAATATTCATTTCTATACTTAGAAGTTTGCTTAAACTTATATTACATTTTTATTAAGGCAAGGAACTATATAGAAAAAAAACCCACATTTTGTCCTGTTTAAGGCATGCTTGGGAATAATCCTTTGGTACATCTATTTATTATTATTTTTTTTACAGATAACTGAAGTTTATCCTCTTTATGACAGAATAGTACTCCATTGTGTGCAAATACTTTCTTCTAAGGGGAAAGAAAACTTCTGTGTGTGCGGGTAGATTCCTCTGAGTGGGTTGCCTATCACTTTTCTTTATCTATCTATTCATCCAATGATAGGCATATAGGCTGCTTCCAAGATTGAGCTATAGATCCTCCTTGTTTAACAACCGAGTTATGCTTCATAACTGGGTTGTTAATTGAATTGGTCACTCAACAAGGAATTTATTTATTTATTTATTTAGCAGTACTGGGGGTTGAACTCAGGACCTTGCGCATGCAAGTGAGGTGCTTATACCGCGGAGCTGTTTCCCCAGCCCAAACAAGGAATTTTTTTTTTTAATTTTATTTATTTATGTGTGTGTGTGTGTGTGGCCAGCTCAGCCCACCAGGGGGCAGGCTGGCTGGCATGTGGTGCTGGGGGATTGAACCGCGGTCCCTGGGCTTTGCTAAGCTTGTTCTAAGTAGGTGCTTTAGACCACTGAGCCATCTCACCAGCCCCAAACAAGGAATTTATATAGTATGTACATTACAATATTTGGAACAAGGACATGGTCAAAGGAAACTTAACACGCAGCATTGTCATATATAACAGAACCTAAAACTACAGGACTGCATAGTACAATCAACAAAAATTATAGCACCGTGGAAGAAGTGACCATAAGGCCACACTGCGCTGCACATTCTGGTGTCACAAATCCAAATGCAGGGTGTCAGTCTGCACCGTGTGCATCGGTTGCACCTCCAAAGAACTGTGAAGCAGGTAAGTCGTTAAACAGAGAGTGTATGTGCTACCAGTTGTGCTGCTACAGACATGTGTGGGTGTGCGTGGATTACTGGAATATGATTTTTTAAAAACTCTGTTGGGAAGATCCCTGGAACAAAAATAGCTGGGTCAAATGGAATTCCTAGTTTTCATTTTCAGAGGCATCTCCATGCTGGTTTCGGTCACAGCTGCACTAGTTTCTGTTCCCCAAAGAGGGTAGAAGGGCTCTTTTCTCCTGCAGAAACCTTGGCAGCAATTGTTATTTGATTTCTTTCTCTCTTTCTTTCCTCCTGCTTCTTCTTCTTCTTTTTTTTTTTTTTTTTTTTGGGTGTTACCAGAGATCAAACTCAGGACTTTGTGCTTGTCAGGCAAGCACTTATCCCACTGAACTATCTCCTGGCTTCTGTTATTTGATTTTTTTTTTTTTTTTTCGGAACCAGGAATTGAACTCAAACCCTTGCGCTTGCCAGGCAAGCACTTATTCTACGGAGCCATCTCCCCGGCCCCTGTTATTTAATTTTTTAATGGCAGTCTTTCTTTTTGGAGTGAGATGGAATCTTGGCATGGTTTGAATTTGCTTCTCTCATGTGGGCTGCATTATTCTTGGTCTAGGTGAACTCTGGGCCCTCACAGGGACCTCCTCACTGGGCCTTTCTGCCTCCATGCTGGCCTGGGCCTGATGGGGCAAAAGCAATTTCATTTTACAAGTCGCTTAAGTTCACCTAAACTGCAGATAAACTCACTCTCAAACCTTCTCCCGTGTAGCTCCTAGAGATAAGAACAAATAGTTAAGACAAATCGGGAAGTAAGGTAAATATTAAATAAACCACAAATATCCCATGACTGGCAGATGGTCAACAATGTCTGGGAAATGTAAACCCTGTGGCAATTGTGTGACATTCTTGTAAAATTCCTAAAAATGGGGCAGTGTGGTTACTATGGAAACCTAGAAGGTATATAACTTAGAGGTAAAGTCCAAGTGGGGGCTGACAATGTGTGAGTCCTGACTTGAAGTCAAGGCCTCGGTCACTGGTTCACAGTAAAGGCTTCTTTGTCCCTATGCTTTCGGCCTCTCTGGAGGGTACTTTCCTTGCTGAAATTGCTGTAGCAGGCTAAGCCACCTGCACACGGCCACCGGACAGCAGCCCAGCTGTCTCAGCATGACCTCAGCCATTGCTTCTCTCCCTGTCCCTTCCTGGCTCCTGACTGCCCCCCAAATAAAATCTCAAGGACCCCTACATGGCACAAGGCATTCCTCGAGGGCCCTTTACTCCCTCGCTTTCATTTGCTGCTCTGTGCTGCTGGTCTTGCAGGGACTGTCCTGGATTTAGGGTCAGAACTTTGCATCTTGGAAAACTCCTCAGTGTAAGGCAAACCAGGATGCTGGTCTCCTTACCCAACCCACGCCTCTGCTCTGCAGCACCTGCCACTGTGGCCCTTGCCATGCCATTGTTGAGCTCTGGCTCAAACCCTTCCCCCCACCAGGACAGTGACCCCTTTTAACTTACCCTCTTGTATCTATTAGGACTGCGCTGAGCTGTGAGTACCTGAAAACCTACTACAACAGCTAAAGCGAGTGCAGAGTTCTGTATTGATTGTTTCACACACAGCAAGACATTCAGATCTGACCTGCAACTTGGTCTCCGGGCAACTGTCTCACCACAAATTGTCTGCCTTAGCTCCAGCCATCACATCCACATTCAAGGCAAGAAAAGGATAGTGCACCAGACCCTGAACCTTCATGGGAAACACTTGCTTTTTCAGAAGACTTCTTACGTTGCAGGACAGCAGAGCATGGTGGTCAGGTGTGGGGGCTCTGGAGCCAGACCACCAAAGTTTGGACCCCAGTTTTCCTGCCTTCTAGTTAAGCCACCTTGGGAGGTTCAAATGAAGACCCTGCTTTTATTTTTTAAATTATTTTTCTATTACCATGGATTGAACGCACGGCCTTCACACTGAGTCACATCTCCAATATTTGGGGACTTTGCATTAAAATTTTCAGACCGTTATGGTTTGTGTGTATTTGTTCCCCCAAAGCCTCATGCAGTGAACTTCTAGACACTGTGATTAATTCATGACCTACTGGATTATGGGCGTGAGTGCCACACCCAGCCTGTGGCGGAGTGTCTGAATGTAGCATAAGGGAGACAGCTTGCTCTCTCAGGCCATTGTTGCCGCTCCTCCTCCCTTTTGCTCTTGCTGTTTTGCTGTTTTCTGCTGCCCTCTGCCACGTGCCACTCTGCCTTGGAGCCAGCCGAGTACGGACTGAAGCCTCCACAAACTGTGAGCTACATAAACTTTTACTTCCTTAATTCGGGGTGTCAGGTATTTGTCCCAGCAAGGAGAGAAAAGTAACTGAGACAAAGACTCAGCTCGGGCATCACCACCTCCACAAAGCTGACCTGGAGCCCTGCTGCCACCTGATAGAGGTATAAGGGCCTTGTTTCTGTGCTTGAGGTCTGTATTTGTTCTTTCACGTGCACAGGCAGGAATCCTGTGTGCTGTCATGGGCATGCATCCTGCAGAGCAGGGGCCTTGTTTGAACCACACTTGGGCTCTCACCTCCGAGCCAGTGCTAGCTCCTTATAGGCCTTTGCTCACTCCTGGGAATCTGCCTGAGTCCTGCGCATGGGAGATGTACCATGCCCCATCTCCCTGCTCGGTCCTGGAGCCCCAGTCTGATGGGGAAGCAGGTGGTCCATAGCCCTTCAAAGTGGATGGAGCGAGGGCCTCATGAGGAGGTAAGTGTATTCTCAGAGGGACCCTAGGCCTCAGTGGCCTGGGACAGGACAGCCACTGAATGCCCCAGCTGGACATGGGGCACTTGTGCATTTGGCCCTTAAAAACCGTCCCATCATCCTTGTAACCCATACTTTGCTGGCTGGCTGTTCCCAGGACCTTACTTGTCTCTTTCTCCATCTGGGCCTCTGCTGGGAGCAACCAAAGCTGGAAACATGTGTGAGGTCATATGTACGAGGGCAGGACAAGGCCAGAGTGCCTACGGCAGTCAAGCTACCTCAGTTAACTTTGCAAAACTATAAATAAATACCCTTCCTATTGTCATTCAGGTCCTTTGCCCATCAGGTAAAGAGGCCTCTACCTGACCTCAGCTTTTGTCTCTTGTCTTTATTTTCTAAATCTCCTTGCTGTTTTCTCCCAGGGACAACTAAGAGACCAGTGAAACCCAACAGACCTCAGTTTCCTTGCCTGTCTCATGCAGCACAAGCTTAGCCTGTGACTGTGGACAGCACTGCTTTCCTCTTTCCTGTGACCCCAGAGGACAGAGCTGTGGTCTCCTCCTCCTCCCAGGCCCACCCCCAGCCAGGGCTCAGGCCAACAGCAGCCATGCTTGTTCCTAAACTTTAGGTCTCTTGTGATCTGGTTTCTCTGGGTTGGGGTGTCTACCTTTGGTGAGACCCCTGTCTTCCAGCTTGGTGAGGGCCTGGGGTAGCCTGCCAAGACTCCTCCATGGGGGCAGGATGCGAGCAGGTGAGATCTACTTCAAGCATACTGGGTCATAGCTTGAGACAGCAGGACAAATGAGGACAAGTATCTACAGTTCTCTCTCTCTCTCTCTCTCTCTCTCTCTCTCTCTCTCTCTCTCTCTCCCCCCCCCATTGAACCCAGGGCCTCTGAACTGAGCTACATTCCCAGCCCTTTGTACCTTTGTAATATTTTAGGTCAACACATGGTCTTATGGTCTTTCTAAATTGCTAAATTGTCCAGATTGGGTTTGAGCTTGTGATCCTTCTGCCTCAGTTTCCCTGAGTGCTGAGATTACAGGTGTGGTCCCCTACAGCCAGCTTGCAATGTCCTTGATCCTGTCCCTTCAGGCTTCCACATGGCCCCCTAGAACCCCTGCTCCCCATGGCTCCCTCTAGGACCTTGCCAGCTTGGCTGAGGGTCCCTCTCTGCCCCCCAGTATGGGGAAGAGTGGCCTCAGAGAAATAACAGATCAGAGTGCAACCAGCTGGAAAGAAAGAGGTTTATTGTTGCAGGGGCTGGCAGCCAGGGCTCCTGGAGGAATCACAGCTGCAGTTTCTGGAAGAGCAGAGGACAGGGTGAGGAACTCTGGGAGGTGGGGACAGTCAGTGTGGAGGAGTGGGGAAGGACCTGTGAAGGGTGTGGGAGGGGCCGTGGGCTTGGGGCTTGGGGTGCAGAGGGCAGTACCCACCTCGTTGATCCAGTCGAGGTAGGCGGACACACGGGTGAAGACTACCGGCTTCTTGGCAGTGTTGCAGCCCAGGCCAGAGCCGAAGCTGACAATGCCATGCACCTTCCAGGACCCGTTCTCCGCCTGGCAGTTCAGCGGGCCGCCCGAGTCACCCTGTACCAGGGGGGCAGTGTGAGCCTGGGCCTCCCTCACAGGTGGCAGGGGCAGTGGGCTGAGGGTTGTGCTCTCAGCCTCAGGACCCTTGTTTTGGCCTCAGCCGGTCCATTTGGGAAAGCAGATGAAACCGGCCTTGTTCTGGGAGGTCCTGTGCATCAGACTAGCTCTGGGCTTGCCGCTTGATCTTAGGGAGATGCCAGCCCTCCCAGTGCCTCAGTTCCCCTGGTGTCCAGGCCACAATGCCTAAGCGTTTGGGAGCTGCCCTGCATGGGAGGAGGCTGGGAGCTGACTGGGAAGTGAGGTGGGTGGGGAGAGAGGGTGGAGAAGCTGGAGATTCCCTGTTATCTTAGGTGTTGTAAGATTCTAGCCAGACCCCAGGTGCCCTGAGCCTGCCTGCAGCTGCAGATATTGGGCAGAACTGGATACAGTTTGAGTTTCCCACAAGCCTGCTGGGTCCTTTCAGGCTCAGCCACCCCTTAGGGATGGGTCCGCCCATGCACCTTGCTTAGTGTCCTCCCTGTCCCCAGCCACCTGGTCACCCTGAATGAGCCTGAGCACACCCTATGGAGACACTCACGTTGCAGGCAGAGATGACGCCATCTCCACCGGCGCACACCATGTTCTTTGTCACCCGGAAGCCCCACCAGTCCCACTGGGAGCATGTGGCGTAGTCCACCACAGGCTGAAGTCCCTGCTGCAGCACGTCGGCGATGGGGCCATTGGCTGAGGAGAGAGGGCGGAAGCCAGGGACTCAGCCAGGCATAGCCAGCCCCAGCCCTCCAGGCCTGCAGCAGACAGAGGCTGGGACCAGATGTAGTCCAAGGTGGGCTGCAACGCTGTGGGAACCCCACATTTACTGGTGTTGACAGCACTGCCGCCAGGCTCTGGAGCCTCCCAAACCATCTGGATGGTGATCCCTAGGAGTATGGGGAGAGGGAGAAAGCCTCAAGGGATACTGGCCAGCTGGGTCGCCTTGTTCAGTACTAGGGATTTGCACTGAGGACCCAGAGCCTTTGCACTGAGCTACGCTTCACTCCTTTGTTACAGTTTTTATTTTGAGACTTGCAGTCCTCCTGCCTTAGCCTCAGAGGGCTGGAACCACAGGTGTGCTGTCACCACGCCTGGCTTTTACTTTCAAAAGCGCCAGGGATGGAGCCAGGGCCTTGGGCCTCCTAGGCAGGCACTCTTGTACTGAGTGTGCCTGCTGCTGTGCCTGCTACTTCCTGGTCTTTGGTAACCACCCTACAAGGTCCTTCTCACTCACCAATAGTCTGAGGGTGGATCCATATCTTCCTCTAAGGCATCTGTGCTTTCGTTTATTTGCGTTTAACCTTAGAATTCAGCTGAAACCTCTCTGGGCGGATGGAGTATCATACGCTCTAACCCCCTCCCCGCCTGATTTATTTTAGTTTCTTTTTACGGCGCTTACTGCATGCCCCGCCCTTAAGCGATTCTAATCTATTTGTTCTTAGAATTACCTCTACACGCACTTGTTAGTGCCTGCCACGTGGCAGGTGCTTAATAAATATTAGCTGTTACTATCACAGAATTTAAAAAGAGGTGAACCAGTTCAGGCAGAGAGGAAGAAGGGAAGGCTTTGAGCAGGCAGCGTGTTGGCTGTCAGAAACGCTTCCTCCAGGAAGGCTCTCGGGATTTCCCGGTGTGCGTGCGTGTGCGTGTGGGTGTGGGGGTGTGTGGGGGGGTGGGTGTGTGTGCCCACGCGCGCCTTGGCTGCTGTACTCACTCCACAGGCGGCCCCAGCCGGTGACATAGCAGGGGTAGTCCTGCGGCAGCACGGAGCCCTCCTCGGGCAGGCAGCCCGCCTGGATGGTGTCACTCAGCTCCACGGGCTCCGCCAGTTTAATGAGGGCAATGTCGTTGCTGAAATCCGGAGCACAGGGGTGAGCGGTGTCGGGGCAGGGTTCTGGCTCTGGCGCCAGCGCCATGGGGTGGGGGATGTGCCTCGGGGACTACGCAAGGGCGCATGGGGGGTCCCCCAAGACCACGGTGACCGCTGGCTGCTGAGATGTCGGAGGACGAGGACCACCCTGGTGCCACAGCTTGTCCGTCTCGGGGCCACGGTGTCCGCGCGAGAGGCTCAGTGGGAAGGGTGGGCGGGGTGGGGGAGGGGTGCCCAACACGGAGGTGGTGGGTTGGAGTTACAGTGACAAATGCCAAGTCAGTCGAAGACGCCCTTTTAATTTCTCCCCAGAAGTGGGGGTTGAACTCAGGCTTCCCGCCTGCTCAGCCGCTAAACTGAGCACCCCACCCCTTTTTAAAAAAACTGTATTTGGTCCAGGGTCTCACAATGCAGCTTGGACTCATAGTGATCCTCCTGTCTCAGCCTCTCCAGCGCTGGGATTACAGCCATGTGCCTCCACGCCCGGTCTCAGGGTGGCTGCCTCAGCCTCATGGAGCTAGGGGGTGGGTGGTGTGTGTGTGTGTGTCACGCATGTGGTGCCTCTAATGGAAACTCGGTTTCCGCGGTTGCCTAGCTAGGCAGGTGCTTATGCTTAGTCTTTTATCTGTCCGGCCAACCTTAGCCCTTTTTAAAATTCTTATTTATTTATTTTAAAAAATTAAATAAATTCTTAATTTTTTTTTTCTTTCTAATTTTGACACAGGGTCTCACTAAGTTCCCCATGCTGAACTCCAACTTTCTATTCTCCTGCTCCAGCCTCCCAGGTAGCTGAAGTTATAGATGTGTACCATCAGGCCTGGCCCTGGATGCCACTTCAATATTTCCAGTTACTGGAACAAAGGCTGGCAGCCTCGCCAGGCCTGGTCTGCTTCCTGCTGCCTCCCTGCACTGAGCTGCAGGAGGTGGGCTTCTTTCTGACCCTCTCTGAACACTCTCCTGTCCCTGGCCGTGGTGCAGATGGAATAAGAGGGCAGCCCTGGCTCAGCCTTGGGCTGGGTGTCAGGGAAGACACTGGGGTTGGGGGCCCTCGCCAGTGGTCTAGATGGGAGGTGTCGTCTCACTCAGCCTCTGCCACTTCTCGGCAGCCCCAGCTTGCGCAACCCCAGGGCACGCTCGCGCTATGCCACTCGGCCCCACGGTGCCCAGCAGCTGGTGCTCACCGTATCAGGAGGGTGTTCCACTTCTCATGGACATGGATGGTGTCCACACCCACGATCACTGAGCCTGGCTCGTCCTCCACAGTCAGGTCGCTTTTGCCCAGGGCCACGCGGTAGGTGAAGGATTTGCTGTTGGCAGAAAGGAATCAGGTGAAGGTGGTGCCAGCTGAGGGTGGCACAACCTAGCCCCGCATCCTGACCCTTAGGAGCATGAGGGGAAAGGATGTGAGCCCCGGGATCAGGTTGTGCCTTACTGCTGCTCCTGGGAGCCCTGGGCCTCAGTTTTCTCATCTGGAAAGTGGGGCAGCACTGGGACTCAGGGCCCAGGGCCCCTGCAAGTGACTGAGGCCAAGCTGCCTGGCCTCTCGCTGTCTCCGTAGAACACCAACTGCTTCACTTTCTCCGCTCTGCCCTGGCCTCTTTCCCCTCCCAGTTTGTGTTAGGATATGTTTGCTGTATATAACAATTACATTCCTCAGGCAGGGCTGGTGTATGAGTTAAATTTGTCATTAGAAAGTTTCATTTTTTTCTTGCAGTACTGGGGCTTGAACCCAGGACTTTGGGAATGCTAGGCAAGCATTCTGTGGCAAGCCCCAGCTGCCCTGGGCTCTTTGTAGCCTGTTTGGTTCTTAAATAGACAGCAAGCTGGGCATGGTGGCACATGCTTGTCATCTCAGTACTCAGGAGGCTGAGGCAGGAGGATTGATACAATTTCAAGACCAGCCCGGGCTGTATAGTGAGTTCAGGGGAAGCCTAAGCTGCATACTGAGACCCTGCTTTAATAAACAAATTGTTTAATTGTTTCTCTGACTTTGTTTTCCCTGCTGTGTTTCTGGCACATGGTAAGTGTGCAGGAAAGTTTGTTGACTGCATAAATGAAGAACTGAGTTGCTGGGTGTGAGTAGCTTATTGAGCCTGGTGCCCAGTAGAGTGTGTAGTAGGTGCTCAATAAAAGCAGCTAGGTCTGACTCCTGCCCTAGGGAGGGAGCTGGGCTCCCGGCATGCCATCCACTCACTTGATGCAGTGGGCAGCTGTGAGGACATGCTGGCTGCTGATCAAGGAGCCGCCACATGTGTGCCTCCACTCGGTGTCCTTGAGGTACTGGAGGGAGACCTGGGGGCGGAGGAGGACCACATGTCAGCCCACATGTAGGCCACTCCCCACCCCACCCCCCTGCCCCTGGCTGCACTGTGCTCACCTGCCAGGGCCAGCTGTGGGGAACGGCGTCCTCTCCCCCAACCACCCTGGCCAACACGTCAGGCTGGAAGGTGGGGACTCCACAGCTGGAGGCTGGAGAGACAGGAGGGGGTACCGGTGAGGGCGGCTGGCCGGCGGGCGTGGTGGGACTTACAGCCTGTTGCTGGGGTGGGTGGCATTGCCGAGGCCTCTGGGCCTCAGCTTTCCTTTCTGAAGAGTCAGGGAGGAAAGATGCTAATGTGGCAAGCCTGTCCTGAGTATCATATTAGCTGGCGTGTAGGGAGGAGCCAAAGCTCTATGCATGGTGAGTGCTCCAGAGGGCTGGAGGAGACAATCAGGTGGCTGTGACAGGTGGGCACCTGGGGACACCTGTGGCCTTCCGTCCCTTTTTAGGGTATAGCGTCATGGGAACGAGGGTTGAATAGGAGATTCAGGGTGCTTTGTGGGGAGACAGACCCGGCTTCCCCATAATTAGCCACATGGTCCTGGGCTGACACTTTAGTCTCTTGTCTACATGTGTAAATGGGGGATACACACAGATCCCGTCTTTCCAGTTGGCTAGAGGATCAAATGAGCTCCGGCCTACGAAGGGCTCAGCCCAGAGCTGGCACAGAGCAAAGGCATCGGAAACAGGAGCTGCTATGGTTACTGTCATTGTGATGCTGTTGACTGAAAGGACTCTTAATTAAGTGCTCTCAAGTTGAGAGAGGCTCAGGGACCTGAATAGCTACTGCAGAGAATGATGGGAATTTAAGCTGGGACCTTGGGGACTGGGGGAGCAAAGGCTGATGGGAAACGTGACGCCTGTATCCCAGGCTTCCTGTACCTCACCGCCAAGACTCATGCTTTTGGGGAAGACACTCACAGGCCTTGTCTGGTGAGGCAGTAGCTCACAGGACGATGGCTGTTCTGCAGCGCGGCCCACACTGGACCCCTAGTGCACCTCCTGCGGAGCCGAGAGCTCCCGGTGGGGCACAGCCTGCATCCCAGCCCACCAGCTCCTGGGGTCCCATCCCCCGCTTACCAAAGGCCAGGAGCGAGGTGAGGACAGTGATGCCCAGCATGGTGCAGGTTGGTGGGACTGCCTGGCCACTGAGGCCAGCAGGGTACTTATAGGCTTGAGCATTTGCAATCTGCTGGTCAAGGCCAAGCCACCCTGGGAGAGCAACCTGTGGACACGGCTGGCCTTTTCCCTGACCTTGGGTAGTTATTGTTTAATTTGGGCTGGCTTGGATGTATAGTTTTCCAGATATCCCAAGATAGAGAAAATTCTGAGGGTCTGAACTTTGGGGGGCTGCTTCGCTGTGCTTGGTGCATACCCTCTGTCCCCTCCCTCCCTCGTTCTTTTCAGGTGTCATTTATCAGGCATCTACTAGGGACAGGCCAAATGCACTATTTCTTGCAAGATGTCATTTAATTCCCCAGTAATGTAAAACATGCTATTTTCCACTTTTGAAAGATGAGGAAGCAAAGATTTTGGGCAGCCAGGTGACCTAAACCTCCATTGCTTTTTCAAATGTTTTATTTTGAGGTAGGGTCTTGTAAGTTGCTCATTTGCCCAGGCTGTGCTTGAACTTGCAGTCTTCCTGCCTCAGCCTCCCAGAATGCTGGGGTCACAGGTGTGTACCACCATGCCTAGCTTGAGCCTCTGTTTTAATTCTGTTGCCCCAAGGCCCAACTCGAGCCTGGTCTGGTGGATGCTGCGGGGCCTCCGCCTATTCACCCTGAGTTCCCTTGGAAGTATTTTCTGAGTTACCTACCTTGTGCCCCTT